CCCCCCCGCTCACCCTTCCCCCTCGCCGCAGACCTTCCTCCAGGAGGTGGTGTCACACTCGCTCGTTTCCTCGCCGTTCGTTCTGCCACTTGAGGAGGCCAGCATCGACTTCTCGGAGCAGCCACCGCCCGGGCCCGGTCCAGATGACGACCTGCCAGGCAGCCAGTCACACACTCGGCCTACCTCGCCCGAGGGTGGCCATGTATCCCACACGGCCGGCCTCGTGCCCCAGCCGGATGTCTCTGAGATCAGTGCGTGTCAGTCCGCACGTCCGCACGGCCAGCCCTTTGCATGGGGCCGGCCGGTCTGTCTACTTGCGAGCGAGGTCCCGGTCTTTCCTTGTGCCCCCTTCGGCCCTCGTTGACACCCGTTAACCTGGCCCCCCCCCCCCCCCCCCCCCCCCTCGCCTGGCCCCGGCGTCGGCCTGTAGTTTCTAAATTCCTCCCCGGGATCTCCTTCCCCGCCAGCGGGCACCTCCTGCTGCCACTTGGCACCAAGGGCACGCTGGCCTCCCTGGTGGCGGTGACCTTCTCGGCCTATGCGTCAGCCACCATGGCTTCCGGGGCCATGGTCGGCGATGGATCGGCTCACGCCACGCTCTATGGCCTGAGGCGGACCCTGCGCCGGGCCAATCGCGGGACATTGCGCTCGGGCACCGGCAGCCGCCTAACCACGACCCTGTGGTCGGCTCGTGTGCTGCGGATTTTGTCCGGCGCCGCGCGCGGGCTCCTGGCCCTGCACCAATCTGGCCACGCCTTCCGCGACCTGAAGCCCGCCAACATCCTCCTCCTGCCGGTGGCCCGGGCGGCTCTGGCCCCGGCGAACGCCGCCACTGTCGGCAGCCCGGATGGCGGAGCCGCCGCGGCCAGCGCGCCGGTCACGCCCGGCCGGCCGCCGGCCCTGCAAATCAACACCACGAACTTGGGCTCGCCCACCGGGCTCCCGGCGTCCGGGGATGTGGTGCTCACCGGTGTCCTGATGGATCTCGGCTCGGTGGAGCCCCTGCGCGGGGATCTGTACACCACGCAAACGGCCGCCGCACGGAGGGCGATCGCCGAACGGGCGGCCGTCCGGGTCACGGCCCCCTTCCGCGCGCCGGAGCTCTTCGACCCGGCCATGCTGTCCCTCCTGCTGGCCGGGGATGTCGATGCCTCGGGGGCCATTCAGCCGGCGGTGGTGGCCGGGTGGGGCATGGACCCGGTGCTCGGCCGCCATGCCCCGGGGCTGTCCCCCGGCGAAGCTTCCATCCCGGGGCCCGGGTCCGGTGTGAGCATCGACCAGGTGGTCGGGGATGATCTGGCCGCGCGCCTGTCAGCCGCGCTCGATGCCCGGACCGACACCTTCGCCCTGGGGTGCACGCTGTATGCGGCCCTGGCGGGAGGGGCTCCGGGCGCGGCCGGGGCCAGCCTGGCGGCGGCCGCGGCGGCCAGCGGCGGAACCAGCGATGGCGACCTGGCCGCGGCGCAGCTGGCCTACGGCCAGGCCTTCGATGGAACGGCCTCCGGGGCGATGGCCCGACGGGCGCCCCTGCCGGACCCGAGCACCGACCATGCATGGCTGTCCTTCTGGTCGGCCAATGCCGCGGCCGGCGGCGGCGGCGGCGGCGGCGGCGGCGGCGGCATGCCCCGGGCCGGGTCCACCCCGACGCTTGGTCGCCCGCGCAAGCCCACCGCCCTGGCGACGGCCGATGCTCCCGGGTCTCCGGGCCCGGCCGCCGGCGGGGGAGCTGCCCTGCTGACTGCAGATGCTCGGTCCGAGGGGCCAGCCGCCGGCCCTGCGCCCGGGGTGTATCCCGATGTGGTGGTCCAGCTGCTGGACTGGCTGCTGGATACGGACCCCCGTGCGCGGCCGTCCATGGCGGCCGTTGTCCGCCGCATTGACGAGGTCCTCCTGGAGCTGGAGCCGCTGCTGGAGCCCGGATGGGATCGCCTGTGAGTCTGGGGGTGGGGGTGGGGGGGTGGCGGGGTGGCGGGGTGGCCGGACACACGTGCCTCCAGGCCGGGCCGGGGGAAGTTGGTGGCGATTCCTCCCATCGCCTCATTCTCTCCCCTCGCCTGGCTCCCGTCGCCCCGCCGCGCGCACGTCCAGACACCCCTGTACACACCACGCCCATCCACCCCCCGTCGTCCTTTTCTTTTTGGATGGCGTTCCGGCCCCTCTTCTCACTTGTGTGCCATTCTCCCCGTGCCGCACCTTGTCCTTGTATCAAATGAAATCCCTTGTCAAAGTACTCTTAGGGGGACCCTCCTGCGTTTCTCCGGGTGGCCACATGCATATTCCTCCGCCTCCTCCCTGGCCGCCCAAATGTGTCCGTGTAAAAGGCCATGGCGGCCAAGCGGCAGGAGGGCCGAAGAATGCCTCTTCTCCCGGTTGTGGAGACAGGAGGTGACGAGAAGAGACGGTGTGGGATTTTTTTTTCTTGACTAGGGGTATATTATTACTGGAGGGGGGGTCTATAGCTGTCGGAAACATGCGCAGGCACACGCCCACACACATACACGCTCGTGTACAGGCTGTCCTTCCCTCTTTCGCGCTGTCGCTCTCTTTCATTGAGAGGGATGATGGGTGCAAAATTGCCAGAGTGTGGCAGGGGGAGGGGGGGGGGGAAGGGAAGGAGAAGAAAGGAGGAGAGGGACGCACGCGCATGCCCGCGTGGGAAAGCCCACACGCAGACACGCGCACAGACACACACGCATGCCCGGAGAAGAGGGGGGAGGCGAGTGCAACAAGGACAGCTTCTTCTTGGGAGGGTGATGAAGGGAGGAGGGAGGGGCGCGGGACGAGGCAGGAGGAGAAGAGCAGAGGGGGGAAGGGGCGCAGGGGAAGAAAGGCCGACCAGCGCGTCACAGGAGGGGAGGCCTGCGCGGCACGTGTGCATACTTGCACCAGGTGGCAGCGGAGGGGTGAGGGAATACAGGGGTGGGTGCGAGAGGGGGCCGGGGGTGGGGGTGGGGGGATTCCCCACTGCCGCCTCTCCGACGCCTCTTGCTCCATGGACACCTCTTCTCCCGGTTCGGGCTTTGTCTCTTTCTTTCTCCTGCATGCTCCCTTCGTCGCCTTCCTACCTGCCGTGTGCGTGTGTGTGTGTGTGCGGTGTGTGCGGTGTTTGGCCCTCCCCTTCGGGTGCGGTCTTTCAGGCGAGGCAGAGGGAGGAGGAGCGGTCTAGGAGCGAGAGGAGGGGGGGGGGGGAGGAAGGAGGGGGGAAAAAACGAGAACAAGGGACAAAAAAAGGGGCCTTACAAGAAAGAACCACCCCCCCCCCCCCCCCCTGTACGCCTCCTCCGCACCGTGGAGGGGGGCGTGTGGCGCGACGCAGACAGCATGCCGCCTGACGCCTGCTTGTGTGTGTGTGTGGGGGGGGGGGGGGGGGATTTACTTGCTCTTGATGGCAGCGGCCAGGGAGGCCTCGTGCTCGGCAATGACAGAGGCACGCAGACGGTCGCGCTCCTCGGCCTCCTCCGGGAAGAGCTCCTTGACGATGTCCGGGAACTCGGTGAAGATCTGGTAGCGAGTGATGTGGCGCTCGTCGGTGCGAGTGGGCTGGTGATCGGCCTGGGCCTCCTGGTGCCGGAGGAGTGTCCGCTCGAAGGCGCTGTCCTTGTCCACCTTGAGCCGGAGGAACTGGTACAGGCTGTGCGTGTTGTTGTAGATGTTCTCGTAGAACTTCTCCGACCGGACGAGGTACAGGTTGGAGGGCTTGACGATGTTGCGGCAGAACTCGATCTGGTTGCGGAACCAGATGGCGTTCTCCTCGCGCACCACGCGCGCCAGCTCCTTGTGGGCCATGACGTCGATGCCGGCGAAATCCTGGGCCAGGAGGCCCTGCAGGCGCATCCAGCTGGGGAGCGAGGACTCGGGGTTGCGCACGAGGCAAATGTACCGCGCATCCGGGTACTGCTTGATGGCATAGGAGAGCTGGCCATTCCAGCCGGCGACCCACTTGCTGAAGTACACGGAGTCGGGCTTGCCACGGCGGTAGAGGACCTTCTTGACGCAGCGCTGGTGGAAGTCCCTGTTGAGGGGAGGGGGGGAGCAGGGTCCGAGAGGAGAAGAGAGAGAGAGAGAGCACAGGGATGATGTGTGTGTGTGTGTGAGTGAGTATGTGCGTGTCGTCCGTGAGAGGGGATGTCCTCGACGAGGTGGGAGCGCGTGCAGGTGGGCAGCAGGGAAGAGGGAGTCGGGGAAGGGCGGCGCAATCTCAGAGCCCGCCCGCTGGCAGTGCCGTGGCCGCTCTCTGTCGGGTGCGACCCCCCCCGACCCTCCCCCCCCCCCCCGCTGCACTCGCGCAGTACGTACATCATGTTGGCGCGATCACGCTTGGGGCGCCAGTCAAAGTGATAGAAGTCACGAGCGAAGTCCGGGCAGGGGAAGGCGCCGAGGACCATGAAGTGGGCCGAGTGGTGGAAGAGGAAGATGGTGTCATCCTCGTCGGAGAGATCGAAGCGCAGGCGGCGCATCTTGGCACGGGGGCTATCATGGGCCATGTAGCAGTTGAGGTGGTTGCGGACGACGAAGTCGCGCACGCGGTTGCCGAGGAAGCGCTTGTCCAGCTCGCAGGCCAGGTCCAGGGCATACTGCACGCACAGGTAGGGGAAGCGCATCTCGAAGAGGGTGAGGGCCAGCAGGCGCTCATCCTCGGCGAGGATGCTCTCGAGCTTGGTGGTACCGGAGCGGGGCTGGCCCACCAGGAAGACCGGCTCCTTGATGGTGACATTGTGGTAGTCCTTGAAGAAGATCTCGTCGATGTGCCAGAGGACCGTCTCCAGGGGCCAGAGGACCAGGAAGCGGGACATGCAGATGGCAACCGAGTTGAGGCTGTTGTGTGTGTGTGTGTGTGTGTGTGTGTGTGTGCAGGAGGGGGCGGCATGGTCAGGGGGTGTCGGCATCGGGCGCGGGCAGGAGGACCGGTGGTCGGGCGCATGTGCGTATGGAGAGAGGGGCAAGCGGGAGCAGGAGCGCCGCGTACTTGACCAGCCAGGAGAAGCCCTCGAAGGGGCGCAGCGCGCGGAAGAGGAGGTCCACATTCCGGGCCCAGGTGCCGAAGGGGCAGGCGTAGGCATAGACCGCCATCAGGGCCAGGTAGATCGGCCAGAGGCCGGACAGGAACCAGAAGGACAGCCAGCAGGTGAGGAACGGCCACACATACCAGTAGGCCGGCACGTAGAGGCCAAGCGGGTTGTCATTCTGATCGATGAGCCCGGGCTTGCCGTTGATGTTGTAGACGGTCTGTTTCTGCGGGTGTCGGTGGTTAGATGACGCCGGGGGGAGGGGGGGAGAGAGAGAGAGAGAGAGAAAGAGAGGAAAGCTGGCAGGGTGAGGGGCGTACAGCCATGGTGGGGCCAGACGCGCGCTCGCGGGAGGGCGGAGTGCGCGGCTCTCGGGGGGCTCCTAGGACCGCACGAGAGGACAGGGGGAAGGGAGAGGGGGGAGGGGGAGGGGGAGGGGGAGGGAGGATGGAATGGGCGGGGGAGGGCGAAGGAGTAGTCCAGCTACTCACGAAGGGGGGGGGGAAGAGGGGGCGTGTGTGTGGCTGCCTCCCATGGCCGGGAGGGGAATTAACTCCTCCCACTTGAAGGTCCCCTCTGCCGCCCCTCGCCCGTGAGAGGGCGCGGGCCCAGGCGAGGTGGAGAGCGGGGCCGGGGCCGGGGCCGGGGCCGGGCGAGGAGACCATGCCACACACGCATGCGCGCCGCCGCGGGCTGGCACACCTGCGCCGGCGGTGCGCCGGGATGCGGGCTTGGGCGCGCCCGAACACAACGCCCCCGCGCCCGCGCGGCGGCGGTAGCTGGGGGG